GGCTGAGAAAAGCAACAACTTGATTTCTGAAGAATGTTGATGAGCGTCCCACTGACTTTGCACACCTAGAAGACAGGACTGGTCACCAGCTACGAAAAAAGACACATGCAGGCTTGTGCTAATGAGAACAAACTAAACATAGACCTTAAGACCACAGATCCTGGTGGTGCTGTGATAGCAGATGCTGTTTTCATATTAACAGTGTATCCTTGCAGTGATGGAAAAGCACTGGAAGAGCACTTTTGACTCTCTCGTGTCAGGATAAGTCACTTGATGAATGTCATCCCTTCTTCGGGAGTCCTTTTATTTATCTGCTAAATTTTCAAGCTTGTGTATTTGCTCCATTGGTGCCTGACTTGCGCTGCTGCACTAAGTACTGGGTAGCTCTGTTGACCCAGAACACAGCAATTCACTAATCATTCCTAGAGGGGAAAACAGCCATTTGGGAGTGAAGCAGCACTTCCAATGTGTCCTTGTTGTGTATTTAACAGGACAGAATTGGTAGCAGGATGTCATGCACGACTATAGCGGCGGATATGCAGAGCCTGCTGTAATTAGCCCTCACTTCAACAAGCTACTGAGGCTTTGAGGTGGGGGTAGAGATGCAGAGAGGAAGAAAACACTTTTGCTGTGTTGAACAAGCTTTCCACAGAGGGATGAATCTTTCACCTGTCGTACTACCGTATGCAGACAACTGTAATTATGCTTAGGCACCCAGCATCATCCTTTACAGAGTTATATTCATTTTTATTGGTGGCAATTAATCTCTAGTCATATTTTTGAAGGAGAAAAAGTGAGTAAGTTAGCACGTTTGCCAGGGAATGTTAGCACGTGACCTGAAATATGGCAGCTCCCTTTAATGTACCATCTCCCAAGAGAGCACTGGCTATTTCAGACTCATCTCTCATGGTATCGACATCCACACATGCAGTCTAAAGGGAGCATTTGTACCTCCCTGGCATCACCACTCTCAGGTTGCTTTTCTTATTGATGGTATAGTTAAAGTCTCTGTATCATTTTGACGGTTTTAATGGCATATGCATTTACAGTGTAGCTCTTGTGTAAGCTTTAATCAGCTTTCTGTTCACATGTTGTTGCTGTTATTATTTATCTCTATTATGGTAACACATAGAGGCGATCAACTGTACTAGGCTTGGGTTGTATTTTAACATGGCCTCTCTGTGCCCACAGAAGTGGTGCTAACAATCCCGAAGTACAACAGGCTTCCGTGGCTCTGAGGCTGCTTTGCCTGTATCTCAGAAACTGGAATTGCTGTCACTCACCAGCTAGGATTTGCCACACTGATGTTTATAGAAAAAAGTGTCTTGGTTGCTTAAGTCTTTGGTTTCTTCTGTTTTCTGTTAATTTTCTAGCAGGAACTACCAGACCCCCATCCCATAGCTAGTTATACACTGGAGTAGCTTCACACATGAGTGGTCCTATTGAGCTCAGTGTAATTACTCGTATGAGTAAGTACTTGGATTTAGCTTATCAACTCTGTATCTGCCTACCTTTGTAAAGGTACAGCAGTTACCCAGTGCAGATCTGAGTTATCACAATCTATCACGGAATATCCCAGTGAAATCATACAGGTAAAGAATTTACTTGCCACTCCACAGTCTGTCACTGCAACATGGGACTTAAAAGGGAGGGGAAGCCAACAGGAATTGATAAACTTTGAGCAATGAAGATCTTATTTTCATGTGAGATTACTGCAGTGTAAAATCAGGTGAGGATGATATTTCATTATCACAGATTTTACACTAACATGTTGCCAATGAATTTCACTCAATTCCCTTTACAGTTAATCAACAGTGGATGAATTGATACTGCATGAAATGGCTCTGCTCGTTGTGACATATATAGGACTTGAACTGATAGCTAAAAGTAGAAAATCTTTGCCATCTGAGGTAAAAACTTAAATCTAGGAGAGACCAACGTGTCATCGTGTGTATATGCTCCCATCTTTAGAGAGACAGCAGGATGTTCACCTCAGTTATACACACATACTATGACTCCAGTTTCAAACCATTTGGAGAACTGTAGTCAAAACCTGCTGGTAGTTTTAGGAACATAAAAAGAAGTCTAACAAGTGCAGAGGCTGTATCAGTCGCTGTAAATGAGAGATGGTACAAGCCCCATCTTTTTGTAATTCTGTTTTTCCTGTGTCTTCCATGAGCATTCAGATGTACTTTAATCCTCATTTTTATGTCTTCTCCATAATAAATCCCCATGAAATTCACATTCTTAGTAGCTATCTGGTATGCCAAGCTGTTTTATTTCTTAGATAATTAAAACATTTTGGCTAGCTAATTTGGGCTAAACATACTGAATCTTGCAATGTGTGCTTACTGATGCCTTGTACTTAGAAGCCTTTGGAAAAATCTGCGTAGCTGCCAGCTGGTTTTCTGGTCACTGCAGGCTTCTTTTATTATCCAGATTTGGGTTTTTATGATTTTACAACCAATTAGAGGAATTTCTGCTCTTCAACATTTTGCTCTTCCCTTTGGCTAGATTGTGAAGTGAAATTTGGTATGGGGAGAAAGCAAGCGTGTGACCAAATATCAATAGTAAGTGTTCAAATAAGATTGACTTACATAAAGGGACAGACACTGTAAATGTGAAACAAGATGCTTGAGCTGATGATAGGAAATGGTTTTCTTATTCTATAAAAGGTTTGCTTTCTCCTTCACTTTCTTTCAAAGTAGAAAACACAAACTGAGCAGACAAATCTGATGATTGGAGCTCTCATCTAAGACATGGAAGACCAAGGATACAAACCACATCTTCTAATGAATATTATTTATTCATATTAAGCAAATTAATTGCAGCTGGAATTATATGACCCCAGAGCAACCCACAGTCTGGCAGTGGGGTGTGGTAAGGTAGGAATCAAGTCCCCGAAGCAGGCAGGGTTAAGTTTGATTCCTGCATTCTACTTTCCCATGCAAAGGGCTGTGGGCTATGCTTGCATCGTTCGGAGTTGTACCCGCTGTGGAGGTGCAGAACTGCATCCTTGATGTTCAAGTTCTGTGGAAAACAAACCAATGTTTCTGGAATGGAAATTGCTGTGAAACTCCATCAGCTCCATCAGATTTTCTCCCTGCCCCAGAAGGCTTACAGAGTCTTTGCAAGTGTCTATGTGAAATAAAGATGGATCATCTCTTTCCACAGATTCTTGGTAATAATTTAAGACTTATAAAGAGTAAGATTTTGTTTGCTCGGCTCCCAGCAGTGTTAGTAAGGAACTATCATCCCTGTTTACAGCTGTGGGAAAAATGAGACAAAGCAATAAAATATCTTATGTGAGGCAGAAGCAGGAGTATGCACAGGGGTGCATTGCATGCACTGCTGTCTGCAGGACATTAAACCATCTCTCTGCACACGTGCCCTGTAAGACCCTGCAGATCCTTTTGGAGACCCTGGAATTGTCTTCTCATGGGTTTATTTTGGCCTTTAACACTGTTGCTCAAGAAAGACAAGTTTGTAAACTGGTAATCAGCAGTGCAAACTGAGTAAAGTCTCTTTTCTTTTACTGCTGGATATCCTCAGATGACCAATGTGTATCCTGCTTCTCAAGAAGAAGGACAAAAATATTACCAAAATTAACTGATAGGTATAGTCATCCAGTGTGGGTTTATAGCCATGTACCATAGAAGGAGAGAGCTATGAAATTTCTAGGACAAGAGCTTCAGGCTTAAGTGGGCTTTACATTTACCTTGCTAAGTCTGAAAACAGAGGTTCAGGCCTGAGAAGCAGTGTGTCACCTGGGGATTAGTTTACATGTTTGCAAATAAAAGAGTTTGTGAAGACAGCTCTGCTGCTGGGATTACGCACTCATTTCCTGCATGGCAGTGGGTTTCACACTAGCAGAAGAGTTGTTGATATAATTGAAACCAGTTCTCTGAGCACAAGCAACTGTACTTGGAAAATGATCTGTAACTGCGTCTTTACCAGGGATTTTGCCAGCAACTCTATTCTAAATAGAATGATGAATTTCTTCACCCTTGACATAGCTGTATTGAAAGGCTGTAATGCAAAGGGTAGGACTACTGAAGAAATCCTTGGTTTTCTGCAGATGGTTTACTGAGGAAACCTTAACCTCTGGGTGTTTGCTTTGAGCTGTCTGTTTAATATGCATACATCTTAAACGGCTGTTTTGCAGGTGCTGATTGCTGTTTCTATAGCAAATCAGGATCAAGCTGTTTCTGTAATGCTGACTTCCCTCTCTCATCCTGCATATGGTCTGCAAACAGGGAGAAGGGATCAGGCAGGATTGCCATGTGAAGGGTTCTCACTGTGCTTTAATGCGTTCTGTAGGGAACCTCCCCTCCCTGTCAATGGCCGTAGGGTTTGGGGCCCTCCTGTATTGCTAGGACATGCTGTTACCAGAAATCACCTGACATACACACTCCATACCTTCATCCTTAAGCTTGGTCAAGCCTTATGAAATCCCATCTCCAGTGATATTTTCTTCCCTACCATCCCTTTACTCCAGAAAAAACAAACAAACAAGCCCCCAGCACCAAAGGAGAAAACCTTCTTTATATTATCATATTTGTCATCTTACAGGAACAGTACGAAGAAATAATATTTGATGACATTATTAAATCTACAGGATTTGCTTGGCAATACTACCTGCCATTAGCTACACTGCAGTCAGGATGTGATCCTCTGCATCTAATTCCACTATAAATTCATTCCTTCCAGCTATCTAAGAGCACTAAGAAACAGGATATTAAAAGATTTAGGTCCTGATCCAATAAGGGTGTTAAACAAGTCCTCAAATTTAGGTGTAATGCTAGTGCTGTTGTCTCCTTGCATGCTCAAGTACATCGCTTGATCAGGGGCGTAGTTTCAGAAAGTCTGAGGGCCCTTTAGAAACTTGGTGCTATTAACAGTGCCTCCGCCTGCCTGCCAACCAAAACATAAGAGCCTGGGATGCGCTGCTTGCGAGGCACTTTCCTAATCATCGCGGTAAATGACTGTATGTTTTCCAGGTTGCGATAGCGATCACTGGGGACCCCACTGCAGCAACCGCTGCCAGTGTCAGAACGAGGCGCTCTGCAACCCCATCACAGGCGCCTGCGTCTGCGCAGACGGCTTCCGAGGCTGGCGCTGCGAAGAGCTCTGCGACCCTGGGAGCTACGGCAAGGCCTGCCAGTTTAAATGCCAGTGTCACAACGGAGCTACCTGCGACCATAAAACCGGAGAATGTCACTGTGCTCCCGGATACACGGGGGTATTGTAAGTTCAATGATAGGTATAATTTACTCCGCATCATATAATGGGCTTGCTTTGACCGCTTTTAATGCGGTGAGTAGTTGGCAAACTCTACACAATCCATGCGTTATATACTTTCCCTTGTAGAAACAGGTAACAGAATTGCAGAGAGACTAAATAAAGGGAATCTCTTTTTTTGCTGCTAATTATACCTGTCTGCATAATAAAATAAAATTTAGTGCTAAAGTGAATTTCAAAATCCATTATAATTTCCGGTTTGTACAACAACTGTACCTGTTCCTAATTTCAGTGTGTGAATACAATCCAAATTACAGCTGAGTTTTTATAAGCAATTGGACATTCTACTCATTAGCAGTCCAGTGCAATATCAAATGGGACTTACCATCCCCAATTTATTTGACTTTCAATCTAACTGAGGAAGCATTACTGTTAACTATATCAGCTTACTATCTAGGGGGTAAATTTTAAGCATAGTGAGCAGGGATTTAGCGGTGTGACTCCTATTAACTTTAACGAGAATCATGTAGCTAAATCCCCATCCACCGCACTGAAAGTTTACCAGTAGGATTCACAAAATCTGCATATTAATTTTAGGACAGCAAGCAATAGTTTCTTGTTTAAAATAGCCCACAGTGTAACATCAGTTCTCATTAGAGGTCTTTCAGTAGTTTCAGAAGTAATTATGTTTTTCAAAATTATTTAAGGGGAAAAGAGAATTTAGTCACTGAATTTTGTTAGAGATCTATTACAGGTGGCTTAATACTTTTTCAGTCTAATATTATTTGTTGAACTGCATGAAGGGGAAGGTAAAAAATAAAGACAATATTAACCCTCATAAATAAGTGATATGCCTTTTGAATATTTTATTTAGTACCTAATTGCCTTATAGACTTGTGACCTCAGTCCTGGAAGCACTCGCTGCTAAAGACTCTGCTTACTATTCAGAGTGGTCCCATTCACATTAGTATGTCAGGTCCCAGCAGTAAGTACTTGCAGGGCCAACCCCTGATACGTTGTATGAACATCCTCACCAGAGGATAGTCAGATAGGGGAAGAACCTGCTGTAGTTTCAGAACCTGGGATTAGAGAAAGAAGCGATGCTGAAAAGCATCGATGTGCAAATGTAGGAGATGCTGGTTTTTGCGGGGACTAGCCTTACTTCAGCCCCCCATGAATACTGAGAGAGATCCAATGAGCTTAAATAGCCTTTAAATGATGCTTACTTCTTGCCAGTTCATTATACACTGCAAATGTTAACATTTAGTAGTGACTGGAGACATTTCAAGCATTTAAATCCCATCCTTTTATTCTATTTGCAGTTTCTTTTATTGACATGTCACATAATTCCCATTGAGGGCTTCATCCTGCAACTCTAACTTTCCTGGGCTGTTTGAAAGGATATGAGTTGTCCTACTGAGATGGGTACATGCATAAAGGTTACACACATGCATTAGCCTTACAGAACTGAATCCATGGCACATAAATAGCCCCAGCAGAAATAAAAGAAATCTTGGCTAATTGGTAACGCCAGCTGAGGCTTACTGAGGTTTCATAATTTGCATACAGAATCCCATGATGGCCTGTGTTGTGAATTTTCCTCATTTACTGTTTCCTGTAAGTTCTTTTAAATGATCTCTTTCTTTCCTTGTTTCTTTTCTCTCCACGAAGTTGTGAAGAGCGCTGTCCCCCAGGCAGTCACGGAGCTCAGTGCGAACTGCGCTGCCCTTGCCAGAACGGGGGAGTCTGCCACCACATCACTGGAGAGTGCTCCTGTCCTCCTGGATGGACGGTGTGTAGTTTAGTCATACTCATCCCACCTTTAGGGGTTGAAATAGAAAGTTAATTGTTCACTGTCTCAGCAGATGCCTTCCCTGTGTGTTTCTGAAGCGTATCTTCTATTTCTTGTCATGAATCTCTTAACAGTTCTGAAACTGGGCCTGCCCTTGTTATGTGTGCACAGCACTTACACAGCCAGGCCACCAGGCTATGGCTGGTAGCTACAGTCATAGAGTTAAACGAACAACAGTAAACCAAGCAGTAACTGCTCATTACACTTCTGTGTGGGAGAAGAGACAAAAAATTGTCTCTGAATTACAGTTCCTTGAAATATTCCCTGCACCCATAGACGGGACAGAAAGCTCAAAGCTCAGCTCAACATTGTCAAAAGCACTGTCCTGTTTTCCCCTTCAGGAAACAGAGAGATGGAGAATCCAGGGGGAATTCAATGGCTCAGGCAGTTGTTAAAGCAGGACTATACATAGGACACAGACCAGTTCAGTATCCTGTTCTTACCCAGGCATAATTCCCATTGATTGCAATAGATTTGTTTGAATCAGGGATTGTACTTCATCCTTTGTGTCAAGGATGCAAGGCCAAACATTTTAAAAGTCCCCAACTTTATTAATAATGTAATAATTAACTCTCTTGGGGTTTGCCAAGTCTCACAGCCCTACATACCATTTAGCTGTACTAAATATCCTGGCATTTTTCCTGTATCTGACAATTAGTCTCTTGGCAGTCTTGCTGGATTTTAATGCATACAAGTACTGTGACTGTTTATTTTAATACATGGAAGACCCTGAAGATCATCGTACAACTACAGCTTCTGATGTGGACCTTACACTTGTTGAAACATTTAAGGGCTGAGAGAGATGTTTGTGTTCCTTTAGATTAATAGAGTAAATGCTGCCTCCATTTGATCTCATTTGCTGTTACTTAGGAAGTACCAACCATGAGATTCTGGTGGCTGTCAGGCAGCAACATGGGAGAACATTGTTGCCCCTAATTTTTGGTGGAACAAAAGTGTATGGAAAATCTCTCTCTAACCAGCAAGTTAGAGTCTCTCTAACTTGGCCAGTCATGGCAAAGGAGGTGATGATGTTATTCCTTTTCAAATGACAAAACAGGCAAAAGGTTTCAGAAACTTAAGTAAGAATGTGGCACCTTACCCTCAACTGGCATTCAGTGGAGGCAAAGAAAAGTTTCTTTCCTAAAGAGTACTGGAGCTAAAGCATAAAGAAAGCAATTCAAATATTTTTGATGGCCTATCAGTCCATTCTGACACTACCCCTAAGAAGTAATCAATAAAGTGATTAACATAAAAATGCTATTTTTAGAGTGGTTTTTTTCACCTCCCCTTATCTTCTGCATGCCAATTTTTCTGAGGATCTGACTTGGTTTGCCATAGACTTCCTTCCCTGTATTTTGTCAGGAGATTTCTTTCACAAAGTTAAAAAATCACGGAAGAGATATAAGAATATCAGAACAGAGCAGGAAGTTTTTAGAGGTCATTTAGGATGCAGCATAGACTTTAAAGAAGAACCACAGCACTGGTGAGGCACAGCAGCTGTGGTCGTGTATTCTGGCCCACTTCTGCCCTGTTCCTTACAGCTTGGAGTTTCTTCTCTGCATTTTTAGTGGCCCAGAGAGACTTTCCTCAAAACTGTGTTGTTGGCTGCTCAGTCCCCAGAGAAACACTAGAGTTAACAATTGATGTTTGAAACAAGTATAACTGAAAATTGAAGAGAGAGATCAAGTATTCTGGGGAAAGAAACTGAAATTATAAGTAAAAGCACTCAGCTTGTAAATGTTGAGATTTTAAGTATAAAGGGTCTCTCCAGGGTTTGAATGAAAAGCTGGTAATTCAGTACACAGAGAGAGAAAGAAATATTTTTTCATGCTGTATTTTTAACTCTTGGTGGTTGGAATGGTTTGGGAAGTGAGACATGAGTGGGCTGTAAACGAGCAAGTGAGACAGGATTGCTAGACAGTACTCATTTTATTTCACACCATGGATAGTCCTTCTTTGACATCAGGAATTTTACTTGCTGATTTTGAGGCTTGAGACTGCACATAATCTATTGAATATACCATCATGTTGGAAGGAGAGAATTCTCTCTGGATTTATACAAGTGCAAATCCACTTGGATTTTATTTCTGCTGGATGAGCTGAGACTTTTATCCTTTCCTAGGGTAGGCTTATTAACAGCAGCTCAGCTCCCTTAGGAGCTTGGTTGCCTGTGGGATATGCAAGGGGGGGCAATAAGTTGAATGGGAGGAAATTCTAGGGTTCTTAAGTTCTTCCTTCTTCCTGCCATCTTCAAAGCCTGGTTCTTTTACTACTTGTAATATTTCTTTCCTCCTGCTTCCTCCCACCCAGTGCAGACTCTCCCAGCAGCACAACAAATTATACAAACTGTGTCCTGTGAGATTTTACTGTCCCTTGGGTTTTTCACCAAGATGTTGGCTAACAGCATACATTGTTGAACTAGTCAACAAAATGGGTCTTCCAGCATGCTACGATGTTGGGCTTTTTGCACTTCTGTGTCTTTGTGGCTGTGGGAGTTAGTGGGTGGCTGCTTTAGGGCCTCATTAACAATTTACTGGTTTAATTCTATACATCTTTCTCATTTGCAGTATTAAATTCTCCAAGCACTCTCAGTAAGTAGGGAGACAAGTTGAATTTAGCATTCACAATGCTTCTCAGAAACGCTTTTGAAGGACTAGATCTCTGTGCTCAGAAAAGCAGCAATCTTCCCTTACGTGACAGAACATTTGTCACTGGCAACACACCCTGTCTGCTCCCAGATCCCATTCTCCAGGCTCTGCATCATGGTGCCGTGTTAATACAACGCATTCTGCTAATCACTTTTTTCTTCATTACCTCTGGGTTTTATAAAGCTACTATAATTATTATTTTTGTCTTTTTCTTTCTGTTGTGGATTTTAAACATGGGAGTGTGTGAGAAAATGGAGAAGAAAAAAATGTTTTCTATGCTACAAAATGGTAATAATATATCAAACAATGTTAAAAGCAAAAGCTGATGAGATCAGGGCCTTAAAAAAGGTGCTGATGGGGTGAACTTTACTCATTAAATGTATAAGCAGCAGGAAACGTTGGTCTGACATTTGATCCACCAGAGAGGGATGTTTTGGAGTCCCTTAGTACATATTAATGCAAAAAGTACGCCTAAAGATTCTCTTGGCTCCAGGGGGATGCATCACAGAGTATTGCTTTCTCATCATTTGTTGATAGAAATCCTGTTCCTTTTGAGACGTGAAGAGAGAAAGTATTTATTATCAAGATAAATGGATACTTACATTTTCAGATATATAGTGTTGTGTATTACTCAAGTCCAGAGACACCAGTTTTTTAACACTGTAATCTGAAAGTTCTTGAACTGAGGCCAACCTGTATATTTTACAGCCAAGAAGCCACCTATCACTGGTTGGGAAAGGCTTGAAGTATCTCTTTTATGATTACATTGAAGAGCAGCCTCTCCACTTTGGGGTTGTTGATATTGCTAAACTTCCCAAACTGTTGAACAAAAACCCCGAGGAGTGAAAGCAGCCATTATGTTCCTGTTTTATGTTTTGTATAAGTTGTGTCTAGTATGTGCCTTGTTTAAAACTCAGAGCCCGTAGGGCTTGGTTAGGGAAATAAGACTTCTGGGAGATTAAAACAAAATAATAATAGGGACAGAAAAACACTGTTTCTATCAAACACTGTGCATGGCACTGGCAGCAGCACCACTTGCTACAGTTGCCAAACATTTTCCATTATGGGACCCCATCTTCAGATCACAGCACTGCCAGACTTGTTTTGGCTTAAGTTAGTCAGCTGGATGCCAGCCTCAGATTTTATGTTTGCTCACATAAAAAAACATTCATACAACTTCTAAGAAAGTCTATGGAAATCCTTGTAAGGCCTTGATACTTGGCCGGGGACATTATGTGATACTTGGGGGAAAACTACCTGAGTTTGGCAGGTAAATTCTCCAAAGACACAACCCATGGTAAACATTCTCTGCCTTGGGGCTGAGGAGCTGGAACACGTCTTGCTCAGCAATTGCTCTTCCTTATGAGCAGTGTCAGTGTGCACAACCAAGAACGACAGTCTGTCTTTTCTTCACTTTTGGAGAGGGTTAAGCAGGGAGGGGAAGGAGGAAACAACTCAGAAATGGGGATTTGGGTCTGGATGAAGGAGAGGACTAAAAGGGAGTCTGCAACAAGGATTTGGGACAGACTGGAATAAAGAGGCAGGAAAGCAGGGGACTGGGAGCATAAAATGGGAGGAGGTAGACACCATGATGCGGAATTGAGACAGGTCAGGGACTGAGATATGGCTCCAAGGTTGACGATAAGGGGCTGAGAGGATGTTGGATGATGCATCCAGCCAGTGTTCAGGGATTAGGCAGATATTCCACTACAAACTCACATCTTCTGGCCAAAAAGCTGCTGCACTGCTGATGTGGAGAGTCAGATTGCTTCTGTTGTCACAGAACCTCTTGTTCCTATCCTGCCTCCTGCACAGCTTAGACAAAGCACTGGCAAATGCCATTCTGTACTGCTTGAAGAGATGAGTGTAGGGGCTTGATGACAGTAGGGGCAATGGAGTAGGTAGGGTCTCAAGAGTAGTAAAGGACTTCTCTAGAAGTTGTATTTTGGTTGTCTTCATGGTTGATGAAGGGGGGCTCTCTGAACCGGGGAGATCATCACAGACTGTCACAACTAGCAGAGCTTCATCCTCCCAGTGCAGCCTTTCCAACAATCCCCCTCTCCCCAAATGTTCACCTTGTGACACCCAGGGTAGGTCCAACAACTTTTCTGACTCTCTATTTCACAATAAAACCTACCAGCACATATGCAGCTTTGTAGCCTCCTCGGGTTGCCTTTAGCCTCTCCCAAGCCTTCCTGTGTCTATTCAAGGAGCAGTGAATATCCTGCCACCCCAGCTGCAATATATGGGGGAGATCCAAAGAAGAGAATTACCAGTGACTGTACAGGGGCGAGAAAAATCCTTTCTGAAGATAGGGTAGACAGGCATTTACTCTGGTAGCAGAATTTTGAGACTGTCTTTAGTCCATCTTAAACAAAAAAATATTGCTACTACACTTAGATCTAGTTTTAGCAAGGAAGACAGTAAAAATCCAAGCTGCATATAGAAATTTATTGCATTATGAATGTTGACTGAAATACTGCTCTTTCTGCAACCTTGCCAGGGGCTGGTGTGTGCACAGCCATGTCCTCCTGGAACGTTTGGAATTAACTGCAGCCAGGACTGTCCATGCCACAACGGAGGACACTGTGATCCTGTGACAGGAAAATGCATCTGTTCAGCTGGCTATATAGGAGACAGGTAAAAATCAAAACCCCAAAGCCTTTAGTTTTAACCATGGATTGGCAATATTTATAGCCTTTCTAGGACAATCTTACTCTCTGAAAAATGGTGTTATGTTTCTATTGCTCCAATTACGTTCATCCTTCTGAAACAGTTCAAGCATTATAAATGTGGCAATGTTATTACTTTTTATTGGCAATGCTCTCCATTTACAGGGTTTTTTTAATACAACTTTTAAAATTTAATGGATTAAATTTAATTTAGATATTTACAGTGATAAATTTAATAGGGAGCATTACATGTTTACAAGATATGTAAATGAACTATATTTATACAAATTAATATCCTCAAGAGTAAGCAATGCAGCAATGTTTCCTTCAGCCTCTCTGTGCTGCTGCAGCACTTATCCATCTCAGACACCAACAAAAAGCGATAAATCCTCAAAATTTATAACCAAGAGCCTTCACCCATAAATCGATCAGAGAAGATGATAATATTGTTTTACAAAGGTGTCATGGATTCAGTAAAATGACTACACAGCAAAGTCAAGGTGGGACTGTAACGCACTCTGGTTTAGCCCTCCAGCTAATCCTGCCAGCAGGGCTAACAAAGGTGGGGAAGCTGCAGCTAAAAAAGCTTTCATATGCAGTTTTCACTAGGGCTTGGACTGTGTCACCAGGTCCAGAGACCGTGTGCACAGCTCACTAGTGTATGCCATACTAAAGCCCTTTCTCCTACATCTTCCCTTTTTTTATTAGCTAGAACAAGCTAGAATCAGTATACTGACATATGCTACAATAATACTTTTATGCAGCAAAGCTCACTGGAATTTCTCATTTCTTGCTTCATTGTCTAATCAGCAGGTCTTTATAGCACACAAACAAACCAACCTTCAGCACTGTGCTGGGGTTCAGAAAGCGGTGCTCATTCCCATTAAATGTGGAAGTTTTCCATTTTATCAACAGTGGTAATTGGAGGCGTCTCTGGAGATTAATATATCAGGATTTGCATGTTGAATATGGTGGAAATACTAATTATTTTGTGGAGAAGACATCATCATGTCTCTTTTCCCCCATCCTCCATCTGGAGACGGTGATTTCAGCCATAGGGTACCACATAATTATTGTTGCTAACCAAAGCTTTCTCTCCTTTTGGAGACAATTTCACTAAGAATTGCAGCCTGGACACTTATACTGGTGACCACACTTCAATCCCAACCTGTCCCGGAGTGGTCATGCTCCGGAAGGCTGACAGAGTCCCTCTGTCTCTAGGTCTCCTCATTTGGTTGTTGCAGACTTAGATCGATTTCTGGCTGTAGGTGAATCAACAGTGTCAGAGCTGTCAGGAGCTCCCCGCCAGCAGCCTGCAGCTGAGCCAGCTCCTTTGCTCAGCTGCCAACAGCCCCCAGCCACAAGGGAGACATGCAGCAGAAGAGCTGGCTCTGCCACAGGCAAGTGGCACAGGGAAAGAACAGTGATGGAGTTGCCAAACAGCAGCACTTACACTCTCCAGCAGCAACAGTAGAGAAAGGACCGTTGGGGATGAAGAAAGGAGATGGTGAGTAGAAAGCAGAAGACCTAGTTCTGCCTGCTGTCAAAATCAGAGGGTTTTGCTGCTGATCTCCCTCAGAGAGGGGCTGGAGAAGGCAGATCTGGGAGAGACTGAGCAGAGGAGGCACTACAGGGCAGACCTGACAGGAGTTCCCAAGAATTGTCCTTGAGCAGAGGGAGTGGGGGCTCTTCAGGTCTGTACTTGGAAAAAAGTGAGAGAGATTTGGACTCCAAAGAGAGGTGTTGCTTGAGAAGACAGAAGCACGGTGGGAGAAAATAAGGCATGATCGTTTGGAAGAGATGGAAAAGAAGCCAAGGGAAGTCACACTGTGGACCTGCACCCAAGAAAACCCCCTAGGAATGGCTCACTTGGCCCACCCTGGGGCAGGGAAGTGAAAGATAAGACACTGAAGGGAGGGGCAGAAGAGCAGAAATTCAGGTGTGTGAAAGGATGAATGAAAACAGGAGAAAGTTAGGTGAAGCGGCAGTTCAGAAAGGTATTCTAGCAGCAGGGAAAAACTGTATTAGCCTGGAAATTCCCACCTTTCAGACAGGTACTCAGAAGGTTAAAACATGTTTATCTATCAGCCTTTAATCAGCCTTCAATAAGGGAAGTGAAACCTTAGGTCCGTTATATTTGATTGGAGTTCTGCCTCTCACTCGGGCTAGGACAGCACGTGGCTGGTAAGGGTTTGCTCTGGACAGACACATGTCCCTTTGCTGTTAACTGCAGGTAGCTAATGGCAGATTGCCCATTGATTTCAGTGAGGGCAGGAGCAGGCACAAGGTCTTTAAAAAGTCTAAATTGCTTTCCTTAGTTACGTGTTCATACAGCGTGGACAATGGGACAGATTAGTCAGCACCATTTTAGCTTAAAGTCTTGTTCTACTTTCTGGATCACATGCAACTGTTGCAGTGTTTCTGTATAATTGCAAGTGTAGCAGGAGAACGCTGATGCACAACAGTGTTTTCTTTAAAATTTTATAAGGCAATAAAAAAAAAATCTTAATAATAGATATTGTGAATAACAATAAAAATATACCCACACTTTATCTGCTATCATCTTTTTAAATTGTCAGTTAAGTATTATATAATACTACAGTTCATCATCTTGTGCAGAAGATAATAACAAATAAACATCTGTGGAGGTGAAATGGTTGTAAAGGTCTATGTCACACCTTGTTCCCTACCTGTTTTCCATGAAGTAACACTACACTAAGTATCTAGAAAATTGGCAAGCACTATTAATAACTTCAGGAAGCTTTGTGCTCTGCTAAAATGACTGGATATGTCATGTAAATGTATGTTTTGCAAGCTGGAAAGGAATAATAGCAGAAGCACAGTTAGAAGCTGAGGATAGGGTGCCTAAGAATTCAGTGGCTGACCGGAAAAGCGAACATACTGGTTTAGCTTTGTTTTCCATATTGCCATTAAATCTGAAGATTGAATCTTAACAGAATAAATACCACATTCGTTATAACAATATGAGCAGACTTACTCTCCTGTTGCTGTGTTTGTACCTGTATCTTTTATCAACCGAAGAGCAATCTCGGTTGGTGTGTTTCGGATGCCTTTCAATATTTGTCTGTGCTATGTAAACGTGGTCACTGTTTCAAAACAAACAAACAGAAAAGCCTAAAGAACTTTACAGCATTATTCCATGAAAAAAAATTTATCTGGAAAAAATGTGTATGTTCTAAGTTCATCTGTTAAGCAGGCTGTCTTATGTTTAATATTTTGTGAAATTGCTTCCATTAATTCTACAGGTGACAGCCATATTATCCTATCCCAACCCAAATAATTATAGTACATATTAAAGTTCAGTGGATATTATAATACGAATCTCCCCAGATAGGCAGAAAGCAATGTAAATTAAACAAGAAACATAACTAGGGCTTAGCAGCTCATTTTGTAATTTAATTGAACAATGTATCTGGTTGTTAATGGTGCTATGGACACATTAGATTGATATGTTGCAGAGGAAAGATGTTTAAGTAGAAAGCTAATTCCTGCTGTGATTATTCCTATGTTCCAGAGGAGTCATTATTAGTATTCTTTGTATAAAATTCATTAGCGGTAGCTGCTTGATCTCCAAATAAATAAGTTGGTTAAATTGTTAGTAGAAAAAGGCTAATTATGTAAATGGATTAGGTCGTCAATATTTCATTTCCAGATGCTTTTCTCCCTGCTAGGTAATGCTTCATCTTCTATAAATATAGAATGATATAGTGCACTATTGACTAAGTATTCATCTCGTTGAGTACAGTGCTCTCCTGCTAACTAGTAGAGCTGTACACAGCAATGGAGACATAAGACATCTTAATATGTTCTTCATTGCATTTCATTTGCTTTAAGTGTTTCAGTCCTAGTGTTAACCATTCTTTGCTGGTTATTTCCCTGAGAGCAGCAGGGCTAACAGCCAGTACCGCCGGCGATTCTCTGGGCTCTTTCCCTTCCTGTTTGTCACAGGCTACTCTCTCTTTAGGTCTCCTGAACTTGGACTGTGTAACTAGCAACGATGTTGATGCTTGCTGCAGTTAAATCACCAGCTAGGCCTTTTGCTTTGTTCCTTTATTTTTACTAAAATGTGATAATCTGAAGCTGCAAAAGTAATGCTCTTCTTATATACTGACTGGGTTCATTGCAGTTTTGCCTGGCTTGCATCACACATTAATCTTTTATTACTGATCATTATATTAACTCTCACCTGCCAGCTGTGAAATGACCTGCCGAAAGACATTTAACAATTGCCTCTACCCACTGAGTTTACAGTATACACTTTAATCAATGCTCAGGATTAAATTAATGCTGATAGGCAATTTCCAATATCTGGCATCCATGCGATAAGGGAATTGGGCTTTTCTGGGTCTCTTTTTCTTTTTTTATTAACTGAAAAGGCATATCTGTATTTCATGGTGGATCATGTAAACTGTAGTACTGACTCACTGCAGAATTTTGAAACCACTGAATTAAGTCAAGCACAGAATCAGTTGCTTTCTTTAGGATCTTAGTTGAGCTTTTCGAAGTAAGAAATATTATGAACACTTAAACTGGTTGTGTAGGACAATGAAACAGGATTTTTGGCAGATTTCATAATGTATCCAGTAGGGAAATATTTTAAACAGTGCATGGAAGGTGCAATTTAAAACAATCTGTGTGTAGTGTTTGCAGGTTCCATTTTTATGTGTATCAAATATTAAAAATGTTGGCAATTTTGGAGAAGATACTACACTAAGGAGCATGAAAGTGATTTGTCTTGAGATTTTATACTGTTGAGCATCCCTGGAGTAAGAGATGAAAAGCAAATTTGAGCTTTAGTTACTCAGAACACACAGAAAAGACAAAGGGCTGTATTTTCTCCTACTTGGTATAAAGCTGGTGCAATGACAGCGTAAAGGGAAAGTAAAATTCTGTGTTGCTGGAGAACACTTTACTCAATATTGTTTAATAGACTACGTTCCCTTTCAATCCTCAGTACCACTAAGAGGACCATATGCTTTTAAAGAAGGTGCACAATCCTTCTGCAATAAAAGAAAAGCAAACAGATGAGGGTTTTTTTATAAAATATAATATCTTATTCTGTATCAGTTTCATATAGATGATAGGTGGAATTGTCAAGGTTCAAGAAACAAGAATGCACTTTGTTAACTAAGGTAATATGAACTAATGTGAATTTTGCAGGATATAACTGGACAGAGATTAATGCACTTTCAGTTAACAGCAATTTACATGCCCTAAATATCACATCACTCAATGATACCATCAGTTCACAGTATATTAATTAAATAAATGATCAATGATTTTATACCTAATCCATTAACAAAAACATTCCCATGTAAAACTCATAAGCAGACTAGACTATAGGATGGTTGCACTCCAAGAGTTTTGGTCAACAGCTCGATGTCCAAGTGGAGAGCAGTGACGAGTGACATTCCTCAGGGGTCGGGGTTGGGACTGGCACTGTTTAACAACTTTGTTGGTGACACGGACAGTGGGATCGAGGCACCCTCAGCAAGTTCCCCATCAGCACTGAGCTGTGTGGTGCAGTCACATTCTGGAGGGAAGGGATCCATCCAGAGGGACCTGGACAGGCTGGAGAGGTGGGATGTGAAAATCTCATGGAATTCAACAAGGTCAGGTGCAAGGTGCTGCCCATGGGTTGGGGTGATCCCAAGCACAAATTCAGACTGGGCAAGCTGTGGCTGGAGATCAGCCCCAAGGAGAAGGACTTGGGGGGGTTGGTGGATAGAAAACTGCCTGTGAGCCAGCAACATGCACTGGCAGCCCAGAAAGCCACCCGTGTGCTGGGCTGCACCCAGAGCAGGGTGGGCAGCAGGGTGAGGGAGGGGATTCTCCCCCTCTGCTCTGCTCTCAGGAGACCCCCCTGCAGTGCTGGGTCCAGCTCTGGGGCACCAACATCAGAAGAACACAGGCCTTCTCGAGTGGGGCCAGAGGAGGCCACAAAGATGCTCAGGGGGCTGGAGCACCCCCTGTGAGGAGAGTTGGGGGGTTCAGCTGGAGAAGAGAAGGCTCCGGGGAGACCTTAGAGCGGCCTCACAGGGCTGAAAGGGGCTACAGGAAAGGGGGAGGGACTCTTGATCAGGGGAGTAGGGATAGGATGAGGGGTGATGAGTTTAAACTGACAGAGGGCAGATTTAGATTACATGCTAGGAAGAAATTCTTCCCTGTGAGGGGGGTGAGGCCCTGGCAGAGGTTGCCCAGAGAAGCTGTGGCTGCCCCCTCCCTGGAAGGGTTCAAGACCAGGTTGGACAGGGCTTTGGGCAACCTGGGCTAGTGGAAGGTGCCATGAAACTCTGATGATCTTTGAGGTCCCTTCCAGCCCAAACCATTCTATGATTCTAGTATTTGATTGGATCCTGTCTCACATATTTCATTGCAGGTGTCAAGAAGAGTGTCCTATTGGGACTTACGGCTTTCAGTGCACACAAAGGTGTGACTGCCAAAATGGTGCAACGTGTTACCATGTAAATGGAGCATGTATGTGTGACCCTGGATTTAAAGGGATTTATTGCCAAGAAAGAATGTGTCCAGAAGGGTTTTATGGCCTCAAATGCAACAAGAGATGTCCTTGCAATATTACCAACACTCTCAGGTATGTACTTCATATTACATACAAGTGCAGGGGCTGGTCAAATAAAAACATTGAGGAAAAAAGTCAGTTAGCTACACCTACTCCCTTTTTATCTGTAGCTTTAATTAAGAATGCAGACAGATCCTCAGGATTGCAACCTTTGATTTAAATGACCTCAGGTTTGGAACCAGAAGCTTCAATCCAACCAGCATGTATCTGTTAACTACTTAAACAGTTCTGCTAAAATCCGAAACAATCTGACATATGGCCTTATCCTGTAACTGCAGTCTTTCAGGCATAAGAACTATCAGATGATGACCATATGTATGTATAATAACCCACTGAAACTTAAAAAAATATAGATATATTTACGCAAATCCATCATTTTGGCTCTTTTTACGATGGGTTTTCTTGTTAAATCTATAGACAGCAAGGGGACTTTCAAAATGAAACCTAATTTGCTTCAGTTTATGTCTCGTAGCAAATTACCTTGTTGAAAACACTTGAGGCAGATGTATAAATAGACTGAAATCAATATCCCCAAGTCAGTCTATGGAACTCTAATGGAGCTGACATTGTCAAAATAGACATCTTTTCTCTTCTCATGTGTGCCTATTTTTGCTCTTCATTCACTATGTGCATGTGTGAAATATTCAGGAAAATAAATATCAGGGAAGGATACCTAAAATGGAATAAGCCTCACATAAAAGGTCAGGTTTCAATGTTTTATTTCCTTTTGCAATTTTTTAGAACCTGATTCTTGAGGTTCTTGTTACTAAGAATCAGAGTCACAAACAGACTTGAGCACCTAACATGGGATGAGTTGAATTTACTTGCTCTTTGCAGGCTTGAACAAGTTTTCCGAACCCTAAAAAAAGGAAGAATTTAAAAATCTTCCCTGTTATCCTATTTGTTACCTTTTGTAACTTCTTGCCTTGTTTACTGACTGCCAGTTTGCTATTTAGAAGTTCCTCACTCCCTCACACACAGTAAAGGGAGCCTGGACAGCAAAAACACCCCGGCCTCTTCTGATGAACTAGAGTGCCCACATTTCCTTACCATGCCTGCAAGATGCTGAGACCTTCAGTTCCCACTTGATTTCCTCCTTTTTCTGTCCATTACTGTTAAGCATTCCTAGCCAATTCAGGATTGTGTAGGCTTCAAAGGGAGGTGGGGATAATTGATGCCCAAGCAAATATGCCCTTGATACGGACATTCTTCAATTTTAAACCAGACAGGTAGGGACCTGACTGTCTTGCTGATGATGACAATCCTACCTTGCAATCTTGCAGCCAGCTAAAATATAAATGCTCTCCTCAATTATGTATGCAAGCAGTGCCACCTAATTTGTGTGCGTGCACACACACACACACACACACACACACAAACACTTCAGGCAAATCTGTTTGTGTGCTTGAGATAGACTCTATTTGTCTCAGTCTTGGAAATAAACAGGTGATCTTTCTTGTGAATTCAAGTTCATCTGTGAGTGGTGAGGCTTTGCTTAACTGAAAGTCAGAGCTCACAATGGATTATTTAAAAGCCTTGTAAGTCTGATGATACAAGCCCTCTACAGAAAGATAGCTCTAGCTCTGTTGGGTCTGGCAGCAAGGATCCAAAGTGTCTGACACCTCAAAGGTAGCTCTGTACAACAGGCTTCTATCACTTCTGATTATTTTGTATATCATAAAATCACTGCAAAAAATAATATATCTAAGACACAAGCTGAGCATTATGCACAAAAAGTTAATGTTGTGTTGTACTGAGGGTAGGGTATGTCTCAAGAATGATTGCAGAGTGAGCTAAGGTATAAATTCCTGCATGTCACACTACTCTGCAGTACCTGCCAGTGTGCACAACATCAACCTACAGTAAATACAAGGTAAACTGCTCCTCAGTGAAAGCTGTTCTTCATGTGTACTGGAGGGTGAGAACATGCTCTTGGACAGCAGCTGACAGTGTGTCTTCACCCCCTCTCCTAGCCTGTGGAAACCCATTTGTGTGCATAAAGGTGTAAATAGAGTGGAAGGACTGCAGTCCATGGGCCAGGCTGTGCCTGGCTGCTGTTTCTCAGCTAAGTGCTCATTAAGTCTTCATTAAGTCTTCTAAGTGGGGTAAGATGGTGGGTTTGAGGGTGCAGGAGTTCTCCCTGGGTTACTTAAAGAACTACCTGGGAGGTGATCTGGAGTTTTGCCAGAAGATCCTTCCTGACAGAACAGACTAGCACCATCCAGCTGTGAAGAAAGACGAGGTCTCAAGTTTGAGAGAGCTCTGAAAGGTGGAGGATTGAATCCTCCCACAGTTCTTTTCTGGGCATGTGGTCATTCTTACACACCGTGTACCTGGCCCGTGCCTGGTTGCCATCTGACAGATACATTTTATACCTTCCCTCCCATCACTGCTCCGTCAGCTTCCCTTGCAGCATCCTCTGCTCAGATGGTATCTCAGTTTCTTTAATAAATGAATCTAGTCTCTCCATTGATAAAATCTCCCTTTTTCCTACATCTTATCACTGCTGTTATGGAACAAAGAGATATCAGCAAGCTGTAGATCTGTAAATGTTCTTTCATTCATCCACGGTATTTCAGCTTTCCACTTTTCAATGAGCTCCTCAGAGCACTGTCGATTTCTGAGCCCAGGAGTGTCAGAGTTGATGGAAAATGACCTTCTCCAAAGGCACTCCATATTCAGAACAAATCTTTTTACTGACTTTTTAACCAGTCCCATACAGCATACTTCTCTTCCCACCCACCTCCTCCCATTCCTCTCCTCAATTTTTATCATTACTGGAACTGTGGTCTTCCAAAGTGATTCATTTACTGACAGCCATCTATTTTCCCCAGAAGCAGTTTAAGCTGTTGGCTAGTTGTTGCAATAGCTAAGTGTGTAGGATAACTATAGAAACACTTGAAAGAAGGTGAGGGACGCTTGCTTATTTCTGTCAGTGATTTTGACTCGTTTGATCTCATTATTGGAAAGCTGGCTGGAATGGAAAGCTCTGGGAGCTTTGAGGAGCAAGTTGGGGAGGAACATTAAGAAATACATAATCAGCTTTTCTATCTTCATAGATCTATCTATTTTAATGTCTGAAGAGACCAGTGTGATCATCTAGTCTAACCTCCTAACGGCTGAAGAACATCATCCAATAATTTCTGCATCAAAGCACGCTGAAAGGCACTTTGTACAGGACTTTTGAACAACCCTAGAATTAGGTAATTTAGAATGCACTGGTGGCTTGGACTGTCCTTCCACAGGGAAGGATACACCTGTAAAAAATTTCCCTATGCGAAAAGCCCATGTTGAGACAGCCTAAAATAGTCAGAAAGGCATAATCCAAGCTTGCTCTTCTGAAAAGCAGTAAGGGAAATGAATAGCTGGAATAGTCTTAGCCACCCACCCCTCTTGAACATCAGTGTGGAGCCATATGCCTTTAGTAACGTCTTGCCCAGGTCAGAGACATGAGGGGGGAAGGAAGACACAGTGACCTCTTAAGCCTTGACAGTTTACTGCTGTGACAAAGCCAAATTAAATGGATAGATCTCCAGACAGTCTAATTATTGCCTCAACACTGAAAAGTTTGGAAAGACCAAACCCCATGGACCTTCCATAAAGTTTTGCCTTGACCTAAGTCAATAATGTGCTTGAATGAGCCTGGATTTGAGGACGTGCTGGACTGAAGTAGTGGCCCTACAGTCTCATTGTGGCACCCTCTTTGAAAGCAAGAGGACATTTTACCAAGGGAGGCTAAATGTAGTATGGACGCTGAAAGACAGTAAACACTGTTAAATAAAGATTAGGGCTGTTGTTAATTAAGATGAGATGACTGGTACTAATGTATAAACTTAAAGTCAGGAAATTCACTGGGAATAAGTTGTTTTGGCTGAAAGATGTGCGGAGAACAAATTCAGAATTTGGAACAGACTGTGCTGTCTAAAGTATTTATTTTCCCAATTTGCCTTAAGTTACCTGGTTTCCTCAGATTTCCTCAAAATTAGATGCTTAAAAAATTTAAAGGTCAAAAATTACCTTCTGTTTTTTCAGTTCAGCTAGTAAATTTAAAAAAAAAATAAAAATTAAAAAAAAAAAATCTTTTATTGCTGTAAATGTGACTTGAAAGCCAGGGACTGTACAATAGCTTCCAAACTGCAGCAAGAGCCATGGAACAATTTCCTTCTGATGCCGTGTTGTGCGCTGTGGACAGCTTCCAGTTTCCACCTCTCCTTGGCCTAGAGCCAGAGGAACACTTGGCTGCTTGCATTCGCTCTAGGTTTTCTACACTATTCTTTCCTGTTATGCAAGAGATTTGAAGAAATAAAAGTTGTTAAGATTCAATGCAAAATACTAATGTATAACACTGCCAAACACTTTCAAGATGTATGGTTCCCTCCCTGCTCACAGCAAGTGGTTGGAAAGCAGATGTTAGTGGGTTTGCCTTCTGGGATCCTCTTGGAGGCCTCACATTCTCTTACCCATCCATTCACTGATCCTTCCCCAGAGGAATTGTTTGTGTTTCTTAAGTTCAGTTTATCGATGGCATGGAAAAGTGCCTTACATGTGCTGTAACCTGTGCTGGCAAAATGTTACATGGACTCATGATCTTGGAAGGTACATTCAGAACAAGAAGGGAGGAATTATACAAGTAATTCACATTGCTAGATGTATTCCCTGCTCTTTGCCTTAACACCTTTGCCATTAAGTGCCTCAGACTTTTCACTTCCATGCATTTAGTTCACTGGACAGTCTGGATGCAGAGATGATTGGATGGATGATAGGCGAATTTCCTAGCTATTATTATATGTCTAGGTACGTAGTTTCAACAGAATGAGATTTTACAAAATGCCAGTATGAGAGAAGCATTCTTAACTCACACATACATGCATACATATGCTATTTTGACATCATGAGCTGCAATATATTTAGTACATAACTATAATGACTTTAATTACTGGACTAGTTCATACATATCAGAATAGAAAAAACAATTAATAATGAAATCTTAGTACTATTTAGTGATAACAGCTGCAGATCTTAAAAGGGTTTCCAAAGGAAGAAAGGCATCATTTTACTAATGGGAAAAATGAAGGCAGAAAGAGTAAGTTAAATCACCAAGATTCACTGGCAGGATCGGGAAGAGAACAGTTGTCTTCTGGATTTTGGTTAAGCATCTAAATCTCAGCCATCTTCAAATTAACACTGCATCAGGGCACCTTTATTATCAGACAAGTGGTTTTGGTTCAGGACATTGTATTCCTTGTATCTGAGACGAGTCTGTGTCCACTGGCCAGACACAGCCTGCAACCTCATTTCAGACCTAGCTACATAGGTTTGGGGTCCTCTTGCTTGTTACGCTACCGTAACACTATGGTGTGTGTTAATCTCTGGCTTGCCAAAAGCTTTGGAAAGATTTATTCTGCTACTGTCAAGAAGTTTCCCTTCCCCTGCTGTACACTTGATTCACCAACTATTGCTACCTACCCAGAACTATGGGTACCATAACCCAGAACTATGGGTACCAGTTTAATGCAGAGGATTTTTCCTAATCTTACAATGCCAGCATTTGGTACGGCAGCACAAGATAACTGTTTCAAAGGACTGGAAGACTGCAAGCACTTGGCCCAGGAGAAAAACAAAACTCCGATATGCTCAGGCTGATAGCAAAACTGTTCTTACTTCAACAGGAAGATTATATGGATGCAGGGACCCAAACATCTGCATTGGACTTTTCCTAGCTCAGAGCCTTATGAAAGAGTGGACAAGGCTTTAGGGGGGCAGAGTATGGTCTCAGCCTTCTACTGGACCTCATTTTGGAGTCCAAGGCCCCTGTCTCCTGCAGACTCTTCTGCAAAGCCTGTTTGGGTTTTTGCTTCTTTCTTAGGATGATTTTGAGTCCCTAATACCTAGCTTGCATCCCATGCAAAAAAGCTGTCCATTTTGATGAAGGAGCCAACCCTGGAGTCAAAAATCTTACTGAGTATAGTATTTTCAATTGAATTGTCATAGACTGATTCCAACTGCCATGATCATATATTACTTTTGAAAGATTTAATTTAGCCAACAGATGCAGTTCTCACAGAACCGTATGATATGTGCAGTAGTAGTAAAAACAGAGAAACAAAAAATCCACTTTAAAATATTTCTTTAATGTTTAGCTTTCTGCTCCTATTAGGTAATGATTAATAGACACAGAGGGGGAAAAAAATGAGCTTTTATTATTTTCATCTGAATGTTAAGAGGTGCTTTGTGAACAACTATAATTTCAGGCACTGCTTTGTCAGAAGAATTTCATGGATGGTAGTTTGTTAAGCTGATGAATTGTTTTAATTAGTCAGTAAAACACTATTTATGATGAAACATATGACACTCACAAAATTTGATCATTCTTAGTCACAACAGTATATGACTAACCTCTCCTACCAGTAATTGCCAGAAACATACTAGGAAATTACGTTTTATGAGGTTACCTTGAAAATTAACATATACGATATTAATTTTATAGGTGTAAAGAAACCCATTCAGTCAGGTCTGCAATATTAAACTATAGCAATAAATAATGGTAAAGGAAAATAAATTGTTTCTATGAGGCAAAAAACCAGGAGACAGGTCCATAGAGAGATGCCACCTTGCAGAACTCTATTCTTTCTTGTTCTGAGAATAATAAAGAAAATCAGATTTGTAGCAATATTATTTCTCATCTTCCTCAGTGAGAGCTAGACAGTGCTATTATGGTACAGTCTGGTGGTGCAGAGGCCCCCAGAGCACACTGAGCTCCCAGGTGAAGCCTTACACTGCCAGCTGGCCTCACAACATGGAGTCTTTTTCCAAAGATCAGATTCCCTCTTTACCCCCTGCTCTCTCTTTCGACCACTTCACCTTCCCAAACCAGACATTCCCCTGGGCTCTCCCTTCCCATCCCCCAGAAACCTCCATCGCTTCAAACCAGGACTTAACACATCTCCAGCCTTCCCCTCCTTTCCCAGCACTCAGCCACAGCCTCAGCGTGGCTTTCCTGCTGTGGGAAGTTAGTGCCCTAAGAAAACCTGGGAGATGCTCTTTCTACTTTTATCTCTGTGTGCTCTCACAACAGTGTGGAATTGCCTGAATAGAAATGAAAGCCAAAGGATTAATGTTGGGTAGCAGTGCTGATTACTCAGCATAAAGGAACTTGACTCATTTCACTGCACAGCTGAGATTTAGTCCCAGGGCTCCTTTTGACTCCTGCCCCAAATAAATCCCGAGGCTTCAGGTAATGATCAGTTCTGTTCACTATGACTGTATATTCCCTGCAAAACTCTTTTTCCAAGGGGATTTTTCCCTTCCAAAGCACTTTCCTTTCTACCTTTCACTGCTGAAAAGTTCTGCTGAGGTGTCACTCACTTTTAGAATACTAATTAGAATAGAATAGAATAGAATAGAATAGAATAGAATAGAATAGAATAGAATAGAATAGAATAGAATAGAATAGAATAGAATAGAATAGAATAGAACTCAGGTTTATCTTCACAGCTCTCTTGATTGCATTCCTCCATCCACTGGAATTTCTCCTAACCCTGAACATCTTTAAGTGACTGTATTACAGCCAACTAGTACGGCACATATATGTCATACAATGGTATGGATTAATCGCATTGTGGTTAATATCAGTAATCCAAGTCCCATTGATTTTAAAATGGAAAAGCATAAACTTCAAAGGTGCAATATTAGCAGTGCTGGGGCACTTCCCACATGTTTGGAAGTGGCATGCCAGGCTGGTACTTAGCACCATATTCCCTATTCACTCCCTAAGTTTTATGGTTGCTTATGTTCACCATCCTTAACAGTTCTCAGGTTTGTGCTGTTCTTAGTGTGATTCTTGCTGGCACTGCATGTAAAACGTCCTGCTGCTGGTTACAGACTGTATTTTTCTTTCATGTCCACATCTCATTAATGTGTGTCTGTCTTCATTAGTTGCCATCCGTTGTCTGGAGAATGTAGCTGCAAAGCTGGCTGGGCTGGACTCTACTGCAATGAAACCTGTCCCCCTGGATACTACGGCGAAGGCTGCCAGCTGATCTGCCCTTGCCAAAACGGGGCAGATTGTGACAGCATCACAGGGAAGTGTATGTGTGCGCCGGGATATATGGTAAGTGAGAGCTGGGAGTAAGGGGACATTTCATACGGCGCCTGCAAAAAATTAAAGATTTTAATCTGATTTCAAATAACATTTGTGTAAAAAGTGGCCAAATGCAGGTAATTTTTCCCCATTCTATTATAAGTCCACATGATTCTCCTTTGAGCAGTGTTAACTTACTACTTCTGGTTATTTACTTTATATCAGTATTGTAAGTTTATTACTGTTATAAGGATAAAGAAATGGTTTCCCATCATATACTCTAAGTCAAGACATAACAAAAAAGATGTCAGTTTATTGTCTGCCTAGAAGAGCAGAAAAAGAAATCTCATGGCCTTTCAGCATTTTCCTTGTCAGTCACACTGTGATTTTAATAGATGAAGATCTTTTAAGATGTTACAAATGATAGAGCAATTTATGTCTTTTCTGAGCATATACGGCAAGTGTCTTTTACCTGAGCATCAGAAAGAGCTTCAGACATTCTGAGGTAAACAAGCATTACGTTTTATAGATGAGATATAAAATGGCTGAAGAAATCAGCCAAGATGAAACAACACAAATTCAGAATTGATGATTGCCAGGTTGCAGGAGAAAGTATTAGGACATGGATCCAGGTGTCCAGTCCTGCTACAGCCGGGCGTAATGGAACCCTTGCTAGTAAGTTCCCTCATTATCCATATGTGAAGCCCCTCTTTACTTCAGGAGCACACCATGGAAGAGCCTATGTTTAAGAAACAATACTTCCTAAAGAAAAAAAAATATTTTAAAGAGAGAATTCCACAACTTCATTAGCAATTGTCTGTCTGTAATTTGTATCCTTAATTTTACATCTGTCCCCACAGGCCTATCTATATGTTTTCTGTATTATTATAGTCATTATTAGTTATAATTACTAAGTTTACTAGAAATTGAGCTTCAGATTCGAAGACATTCCCAATGTTTCTAGAACTTTCACTGACATTTAGCAGCCAGCTAAAATGTGCAGCGTTCTGAATGAGTGACCCTCTATTGTGTTAAGTTACAACTTCAAAATGAAGTGAATAAATACCTTTAGATAACTAGGGAACACAAGGTGTGATCTTTGACCATGTTGTAGCTCTCTTGATTTGCATTTGTGAGACATGGTAGACATCAGACCAGGTAGCTTTAGAAGCAGTGGGAGTGGAATGGCATGTTGGATCTGAACAGCAGAGGAGTCACGTTCTACCATCAGCACCCACTGCAGTGTTTAGGGTTTTCTAGAAAAAAACATGTGGTATTCTGCAGGGTCATATGCCTGCTGTCATCTACAGGGAAAGGCTGCACAGCTGTGTGACAAGATCCATAGTGTGGGAGTCCTGGATGAGATGAGTGGGATGCTAAAGCCTTTTAGCCTCCCTCCCTTTTAAATCCACACCTGAGCTTGTGATCACCAACTGTCATCTCCAGCACTGTGAAATTGGAGTTATGGCTTAAAGACACTTTTGTTCTCTGCTTTATGTCAACATCTGAACCTGAAAGTTGGAGCTTCCATGCAATTTCCAGGGGTTCTCTCAATGCTGGGTATAAACAGAATTATTTAGGTGAGGGGTAGGACTGTCAAAAGCATCTCTGCAAGACACCAGTACTTAGAAATTTAAAAAAAAAAAAAAAAAAAAGAAGAGGATTTTGAGTTTTGATACTCTACTCACACTAACAAAAACTAAGAATTTATCTTTTCTATACAGTGGTGATACACAGGTGTTTATAGAAAGTGGAGGAAAGAATGAAGGCAGCAGCATGTCAGTAACAAATGCAAAATAAAAAGATAGCAAGATCCTCTTATCAGGAATGCTGTTCAAGTTTGCAGCACAAAAATATTTTGGGACCCTTTACTGTACTCATATTTTTAAAAAGCATGGTTTGTCCAATATATATTGCTCCAAGACAGTATTATTGCAGGCATGAAGCCTGGGAAGTTCCTATTGCATTGCTTCAAAATAATATTTAATCTCATAATAAAGAGCTTTCTTGCATTGACATTTAAACAGCTTGGTTATTGAGGATAGCTCTATAATCACTGAAGCATATTTAGGCATTAGTATCATTGCTCTCTCATAATATACTATAATCTCTGACAATTAGTCCATGAGGGGAAGTAAAGCCTTGAAATTGCTAATTTATTGCCTCTGAAGCATATTTGTCATCCGTATGCATGCCAGATGACTTGAGATGCAACGGTTCTTTCAAATGCTAGAGACCACAGGCTGTAAAGAAAACTTGTCAGGAACCTTTCCTTCCTTCCTGGGCCGGCGGCGTCCTGCCGAGCTGCTCGGCCGTACGCTCCATCGCCTGGGCAGGGAGAAGGTGTCACACTGCTTCACCACGCAACCTGCAGGTCCTGGGAAAGATGCTGTGGGGCCAGAACCCTCTCAAGGCTTGAAGTGGCTTATCTCAGTGACACACTCAAGACCAGACTTTGCTTTCAAATATGCCTGCCTGCCTCTTGCTGAGGCAGCAGGGAGCTTTGCCTGCAGGTAGAATTTTGCCCTTGAATTAGCCTAGCCTGCAAGTGCGAGGCTCGACTGTTCCTGAATGCAGGATGCCTCTTTTGGCAGCACTGACAATAGTGATGCTAATACAGAACTGGGCAGAGCTAATTATTCAGAAAAGCCATAAATGAATCCCTCTTGCTTTTTCTTGCATGAGGCTTGGCTGATGCAGCTACAGGGTCAGGAATTTTACCATATGATTGGAAAGAATGGAAATGGGAGCAACATCTTACATTTTACAGACGCGTTTCATCTACACACGATCTTAAATAGCTGAGCAGGCTGAGGGGATTTTTAAGTAAGCGGGGAAGGAAGAGAATATGATGGGACATGGCTTACAACAGCAAAATTGAACTGCAAAGACAGAGGGGTTGGACCCATAGACTTCTGGGTTTCTGGATGCCTAGAAAACATAGTGACCAAGAAACAACAGTCTTTGCCTGACAAAGCACTCCTCCAACCCACTTGTTTTGCACAGATGGCTTGTTTTTTAACTGTGCCCTGCCTCGGCTTTGTCAGGGCAGCTGGGCTGGGTTTCAGAATGAATCATCTGCAATCGCAGCCAAAACAGGGACATTTTGTTGGGATGCAGAACAAGCCATTAAAAACACAAAGCATCTGGTCACCTTTATTAAATGTATTAAGTGGAAAGGCAGCCATCCCATAGGTTGACATGTATGTGAGCAGAACACTTAATTTTTAGAAGTTAGGCAGATTCAAGTTTTAAAATAAAATTGTACCTTGTAGCTTAGAAAATAATACATTGTTTATTAGCTGTGACATTTCCAAAATTTCAAATACCAAAGCTAAATATTGGTGAGCTTGCAGTTTTGGATAGAATTTCAAAACATTTTATATCTTCTTTTTTTGATTATTATTTTGCATTAGACTCAGTGACCAGATTCACACATACACAGCTCTAAAACCGAATTACACTATCTTAAAGATGTTACTGGTACTGGTACAGGTTATTTGTGTGAGGCCCTGATATGACTGTGCTCACACCAGGGGATTGCACTGTTTTAACTGTATGGTTGTCTAAACCACAGTGCAGACTATGTGTAGATTTGACTGAAGAGATAGATGAGAAATCGAAGTGATCCACAATTACACCCAAAACAGCCCAGTTCTTGGAGGCATCATCCAGGACAATAAAAATAGGATAATAGTAGAGGAGACACAACAAAATCTTCTTCTTCTCCAAGATCACGGAGCATTTCTAGAGCTACCCCCGATGTGCACTAGTAGTTGAGTCCACACTGCAGGCTTGCTGGAAACCCTGTGCTTTACTGCATCTCACTTGTGAAGGGAGGATAAAGTTAGTATCAATTTAATTCAGATGATTGCAGGGTATCATCATTATCAGCATGTCAGCAGGGCACTTCCGTAAAACTGGTATTTTTAACATATTTGAGGATTGCCTCTTAGTACTCGTGTGATGAATTGCCAGTGATTCTTTTCTGAAGAATGTTTTGAAAAGCCATTTTACTGTCATCTCATTTGTGGCAAGAAGGAATCTGATAAACACACACAGGGAGTACACAAAGATTAGCCTTAAAAAGTATACAAGGAGATTCTTGACTGGTAGAAATTGGATCCTTACTCCCACATGCAAATAGTCGCTCCTTGCAATAAATTACTTGGATGCAATTATGGGGGTGGTGAGAGGGGTTATACTAACTTGTACCTCCCTCTACTTCCAAAATCTGCTTTAAGATGCTCTCTTGCAAGCTCACTGAAGTCAGTTGTGCAGAAGGGATGTAAAAGAAATCAGGATTTGCCCTGTCCTCTCTTCTTTTGTTTTTGGTTCATTGAATTTTATTCCTGTAATTCAATAAATGTGGTGAAGAAGGCCAGAGGATATGAATTAAATATGACAGGAGACCACAGGAATCCTGACCTTCTGTCTCACAAGGAAATCTTGAAACCAACCCCCTGCACGTACCTATCAGCGTTCTAGCTACTGAAATCATTATAAATGCTATTGAAATACAACTAAGTTCACCTTCTGCATTGCACAGCTAATTGCAACTTTCCTGAAAACAGTGGCTATCTAGAGACCTCATCCTGTGATATGCCTTTGTTTCTTTATGGATGCTTTGTTTTCTTCCTTTAAAAAATGGGTTTAACTTCAAATGCTTTCATTCTGTCCATTGTGGCAAGGAGATATGTAGTTAAAGCATTTCGCAGCCCAAGACACTCTGAGAAAACTTTAACACTTATCTATGGAATGTGCGGTCAGCTTTTACTTTGGTGGGCACTTAGGTCTATATTTCACATCTGGATGACAGAACTTATATTACTTTAAAGAGTTCATCTATTTATGCTGCAATTTTTTGTAGAACTGTCTGCTTTTATTGAACCCTGCATGCTGGCAAGCAAAGCTAGCACTTCATCACCAAAATGAAAGAATCCATTCTGACATTTTTCTATTCCTTGGCTATATTGGTAGATCCCATACAAGCCAATCATAATACAGGAAAAGTATGGAAACTATAGCAG